TCTTATGTCTAGCTTCATTTGTTCAACATTGTTATTTTTATTGTAGTTTCTTTTTCATTTTTGTTTAGTATTCCATTATGTGAATATACACAAATTTATTCTTTTATTTTACAGCTGATTTGTTATTTCTAGTTTTTGACTCTTATGAGTAAAGCTGCTATGAACATTCTTAAACATATCTTTTGGTAGACATACGCACTTATTTCTGCTTGGTATAAAAATTGGAATTGTTGGGCCATTGGGTACATGCGTGTTTAGCTTTAGTAGATTCTGCCAATTTCTGAAGTGTTCCAATTTGTGCTCCTACCAGTTGTTCCACATCCTTGTCAACACTTGGTACTCTCATTCTTTTAAGTTTAGCTATTCTTGTGACTAAAATCACTAATTTTCACAAAAATCCTGTGTTGCTCCTGTATTGTTATTCGTTCCACTTTACAGACTAGGAGACAGGCTCAGTGAGGGGGAAGCCATTTATCCCAGATCACAGAGGATGTCAGTAAGTTGTAGGCAACAGCAGGTGTGCATGAGTCCTGTGCACCTGTGGTTAAATGAAATTTTAACGCCGGAATACTTGGGTGTGCCAAAATAGTAGCTTTCTTTCTTTCTTTTTTTAAAGATGACCGGTAAGGGGATCTTTAACCCCTGACTTGGTGTTGTCAGCACCACGCTTTCCGAAGTGAGCCAACCAGCCATCCCTACATAGGGATCCGAACCTGTGGCCTCGGTGTTATCAGAACCACACTCCCCCAAGTGAGCCATGGGCCAGCCCTATCCTAATTACTTTCTATAGTACTTATTTCCATTTGATAGCAGAAATATATGGTCACTTCCTGGCAAATTCAGTCAAGTAGGTGCATGATCACTCAGTCATTTCAGGGGTACACAGTCAAGATGTTGACAGAGATCTGTCTCTTCATTCCTATCTAGGGTCTCAGTTACATCCTGCAGAGCTTATGTGGTCATGGCATGGAGTGGGAGGTGAGGGGGCTAAAGGTTGTCTGGTCCTTGGTCATCATCATCTTCCACTACTGCTCAGGGAGGCAGACAGACCTCACACCTGCCAGTTGTGGGCTGTCATCCTTGGTTCCTACTGTGCCCACAGATGTCCGTGTTATTATTATGATGTTAGGTGTCTGGCTTGGATTGCTCCCTTTATTAAATCCCAGAAGCCCTTCCTGGTCATCTGCCCCCTCTTTCAGCAACTTCCATGCTGTTCTAGGGCCTCAGGACATATTCCGATGCTCCTTGGGATCCTTACACATTAGGGATGAGCCTGAGATGCTCCCAGGGCCTCCTACCTGGGCACATTCAGCTGCCATTTCTACTTGAGTGCTACCTTACCTTCTCATCACAGAAGACTGTTTAGATCTTACCCACAGATTCTTTCCACTCTCAAAGCCCCCAAACTTATCTGGGGGTACTAGTCTCTTCCTATCCCTGGGTAGAGGGCCTGAGGAAGGAGTAGGAGAGTGTCCTTTCTCAGAGACCCCCACTGGTAGCTAACTGCAATATTCTCCTTTCTGGCTTGATTCTTCCTCCCACCCCCAGCCTTCTGGGAAACTGGCTCTGGCTTCATCATACCTTCTTCTTCCTATCTCCTCAACAGAGGAGGAAGGTGAGGCTCAGAGAGGGAAGTAAGTTATCCAAGATCACATAACAGCGGTAGGAGGTCTGACTCCAGAGTGGCTGTGCTTTCTACTCTCTCAGGGGAACAAGACTGAGAGACTTGATACAGCAGCAGGGTGCATCCAAGAGATCTTTGACCATGCAGACTGGATTATCTCTTAGTTTATGTGCTGTCCTATGGCCAGAGTCCAGAGTTTGTCCCATGGGTCGGCGCCTGAGAAAAAGGAGCATGAACTGAATTCTGGGCAGCAAATCTCATTTTACATGCACTGAGAAAGCTGCTTCTCATAGGAATCCTCCTGTGAGTGCTTTACAGCAATGAAGTCTCCATTTACGATTAGCTTTTTTTATTGGTGACTGGCTGGTATAATTAACTCTGGACCTTGGTGTTATCAGCACCACACTCTAACCAGCTGAACTAACCCCACCCTTCGTTTACAAAAGGAGATCATCTCTGGAAATGAATTCACATAAAAACTGATTTTCCTACCTGGACTGCTGGAATCTGGAGCATTTAGTTTTCCCGGAGGTCGTATGCTGGGAACGGCTGTAAATCAGAAAATGTTCCTGGCATTTGAGGGATGGGGCTAAGATTCAATATCTGGGCTGCGATGGGTGAAGTCTTAAGCCTGCTCTTCAGTGGCTGTGTGACACTGGAAAAGTCCCTTCTCTTTGGTTTTGTTTCCTTCCTCTGTAGAAAAGGGGTTTTGATTATGTGGTGTGTGCAATAATTAAAGAAAGGATGAGGCCTCAAGCCTCCTCAGGGTCAGCTCTGGAACCAGAGACACCCCCTTCCCCTCACACCCACCCACACATCCACACACACACCAAGGGGACTCTGTGGGGGCCCATCCTTTCTGACCTGGACTGGTGATTATGGATAAAAGAGTGGAGATGAGTCATTTCCAGCCTGTACCCAACAGTCCTGCAACTACCTCCGCCCTCCTGAGTGGAGGGTTTTAGGGAGGATAGGGTTGATTCAGAAAGTTGGAGCTAAATCACTCACCTCTGACAAACACTGCTGATTCCTTCTTGGCAGTGCCTCATCACTGAGACCCTACTTACAGAGGTTTCTCGACTTACCCTGGCCTTAAGAATCACCTGGACAACTAGTTTAAAGGGCAGAAAAACCTGTCCCCAGGGAGTTCAATTCATTAGATTGAGAGTGGACACAGGAATCTGCATTTTCTTGAGTGGAGGTCAATTTATTTTTTGAAGTAAAAACATTTTGAACATGAAATACATTCATGTGGAAAGGGTATAAAGTGAAAAATCACCCCAATAGCTGTCCTCTGGCCACATAGTTCCCTTCACTTGAGGCAACCAAGTTGTGTATCTTTTCTGAGATAATCTATACACATAATAGGATATACAAGTAAATGAAATCTCCATTTTAAAAATAAGCATCTGTTGGTGATTCTAATATTGGGGGTTCTCAGACATATTTGGAAAAACATACCCACTGTATGCCAGGCCTTGTGCTGGGTCCTTGGGCTAGCTGTGTGACCTGGTATTGCCCAGTTCTGCTTAGAATGCTCAACAAGAGCATTCTAGCAGGCCTGAACCTGGAGCTGCTGAGGACAGTGCTGTGCTGCGGAGAAAAGGCCTTTCATCTGTCACCTGCTGGGGCACCTGGCAGACACTGGATACCACAGCTTGTAGACAAAGACCTGGTAACTCAAGGAGCTGCTTGGCCTCCCTGCGCAGTCCCAATCCCAGAGGAGCTGTGGGTTTCTGGTTTCTTTGGGGGGCCCTGTGTGGAAGTGTCTTTTGTCCTCCTGGTATCAGGAATACCATCACGTGCCTGTTGGCTAGGTGAGGCCGGCGCCTTAGTCTCCTAGGGAGTGGGAGTAATGTTTCCCAGGCAGCGCAAGGTAGGGCTGGGCAGTTGCACAATCCCTGATTTCATACTTTCAGACCTCTCCCTTTCGCTCAGAGTTGGCTTCATCCTATCGACTTTATCACAGTCTTCTGGGAGCTCCCCATAGTACAGAGTCCTGTCTGGTCTGACCCGGCTGCCTGGTTCACTGCCGAATCCCCACAGGTAGGGACTCGATCTCACACATGCAGGGGGCCCGCGGCTGGCTGGTACGGAGATCCAAACCCCCTTGAAGTTACAAGGCTGTGCTCTAACCAACTGGGCTAACCGGCCAGTCCTTCGATGCATGTTTACTCAAAGAATGGATACTCACTTCTAGATTCGGAGTTTCCCTGCAACAGCTATTTTTGGCCAGGAAGCCTCTTCAAAAGTCAATGGTAGGAAATAAAGGTTAAAAGTACCAAACTGTGGAGTTAGGTTCAAATCCTGACTCTGCCACTCAAGCGATCTGAACATGTTCCCTCATTGCAAAGGGGAAAGAAGCCAACAATATTTCACCTCATGGAGTTACAGTGGAGACTGAGGGCAGGACAGGGTCTATCAGTTCAGTGGCACACACCCACACCCCGTTTTGTTGTTTTTGTGGAGAGGACAGAGTCTATCAGCTCAGCGGACGACACCCGCACCCCGCCCACACCCCGTTGTGTTGTTTCCAGGCTTTTCAGGACTGAGGTCTTTCACTCAGCTTAGGACAGCCCCTGCCTGAAAGACCCTTCCAGGCCGCGGTGCTCCTCCAGCGGTGCCCGGCGCCAGCTTTGAAGAGAGAGCCGCGCTTGCGAGAAGGGCCGGCCCAGTGGCGCACTGCTACAGTGCGCCGCTTGGGAGCCCGGCGGCATTCCCGCCGAGGGTTCAGATCCCACATACAGACCGGTTCCCGCTCACTGGCTGAGCGAGGGGCGGGCGCAGCACCGAGGGTTGCGATCCCATTGCCGGTCCCGGTCCGGTACAGGCGCGACACTGAGGGTTGCGGTCTGTTGCCGGACACACACACACACACAAAAAAAATGTTATGAAAAGTCTAGTTTTAAATATTTGATATGTAATATCTTCCCTGATACTTTCTCTTTGTTCCTAATTTATACATTTCATAATTATTTAATATAAAGAATTTTTTTGCCAAGGCCTTATGTTCCCTCTAGTTTACCTCAGTATGTTTTACAAACACTGTCCTTTTCTGTATGTGCCCTGGCAAGGAAACAGGTAGGAAAGCATCAGAGCTCTGATTCCTTCATCACCAGTTGGATGATGAGGAACAAGTCATCTAACCTTCTTGCACCTGTGTATCTGCCTTTGTAAAATGAGAGTTTAGCCCCAATTTTCTGTAAGGGTTCTTCTAGCTTTATGAATCTAAATTTAAACTGTGTCACAGGTTAGCAGATAATTCAGTAGCAGCCAGCACCCAGGTATTACTGGACATGTCAGACCATTGCAGTGTTTGTAATTCATACACATGCATGGGTGAATCCAATCAAAATTTTCATCAAGAATTTTGAAATGATGAGTGGCCTTGTCCTCGGTCTTCCTTTTTGGCGTGTGCTGACGCTGCCTCACTCTCGTTAGCGTCCTGCCAGCCGTCTCCTTGAGACCGAACACTGTGAGTAGCCGCCCACCGGGCTGGAAGGAGCCGTGGCGCCCGGACTGCGGGTTGGGTGGCGGCACCGCTGCGGCTTTGGCCTGCCTGAGGTGGGCGGCGACTGGGCCTGGCCTTCCCTCATGTGCTGACGCTGCCTCACTCTCGTTAGCGTCCTGCCAGCCGTCTCCTTGAGACCGAACACTATGCCTTCAATTAAGTTGCAGAGTTCTGATGGAGAGATATTTGAAGTTGATGTGGAAATCGCCAAACAATCTGTGACTATCAAGACCATGTTGGAAGATTTGGGAATGGATGATGAAGGGGGAGGCCGTCGTCGACCTCTTTCTACGGGAGGCGCCGTCGGGTCCTGTTCACCCAGTCGGCCCTAGACTCGGCAAGGCCTCTTCTGGCCGCCTGGGGTCCTCCGGGCGTGTGAGCCGAGTCCCAGGTTGGGCCTTTTTTGCACGGGGCGAGCGTCAGCCGGCGCGGAGCTCGGCTGCAAGGCCCATGCTGCGGCCCGGGGCCTCTCTTGGCCTTGAGCCTGCTGCTCCGGGGATCAGGGCGGGGGTGGAGGCGGCAGGGCTTTGAATGGGGGGTCCCTCGGATGTCGTGAGCACGGGCGTGTGTCCGTTCCTGAATTTTGTTGTCGGGAGGGAGCGTGGCGGTGATAGTCCGAGGCCGCTGGATACTTGGCTCCCACCCTTTCTCCCCTGTACCTGGCTAACTGCTGGCGCCGCGTCTCTGCAGATAGCCGCCTGTTCCTTCTGAATATTTCTCTGCGTTATTTTGCCACGGCCGGGAGTCGCCGAAATAACTATTATAATGGATATCATCATCATAAGTGGCCCTAACTGTAAAACTTCATTCGAGATGTCTGGCTTTTTAAAATGATAGGACGTTCACCTCCTTCGGTTCACTTATTAGTGGAGACTTTGGGTTTGGGTTTTGGGGGCATGAATTTTCGTCAGAGCGTCACAGTAGAATCTGTCTATGTCATAGAACAGTGCAGTCTCTTCCCCCCGGCAGTCTAAAAAGATGTGTTAGAATTTCGGGTCACTTAAAACGCAGGGTTTTTTTTTCCTTTATGATGTTATTTAATATCCAAGTACAGGAGCCTAAATAATTGAAGAAATGGTTTTGAAAGTATGTCAAATCAAAATTTCATCCGTTATTATTTAAAAATTTTGCACTCGATTCCAGTATAACATTGGAAGTTCTCCTTGAGTGTTAAGTCTAGGATTACAAAGTGCATCGAGTTACAGATCAACCGATTGTCTGCCTGCTATTTAATAAGGTCTCAGCTCACTTAAGAGTAACCTCATACACTAATTTGACTATGACTAAGCATATTTTGCTATATTTGAAAGAAATATGAAATGGTCGTCTTGCTTAAGAAATTTTACCAACTGCGTTGTTAGATTTGTGACAGGACTACGGAATATAAAAAACATAAAATGTTTTGTAATTAAAAAGGCTCACATTAAAATATTTTCTTTTGGGGATACCTTTTGTTGTTACCTTATCACGGGGAGGGTTCTCTTCTCTGGGCCCTTCTCCATTGAGCAGGACGACTGCTTTTTGGCAAGCATTAAGCAACATGGAGAAGCAGACATGTTTGTGAACTGAAAAATTAAATTTGATGCTTTCCAAAAATGGATGAGTGACAGGAGGTTATTTCAGTGGCTGGTTTTAAAACATGCTTTACCTTTTTGCTTCCTTCTCCTAACAGCTTGTCTGCTTGGGGAATGAAGACAATTGTCTCAGAAAAGCTGAATGAATAACAGAAGTGGTGGGTCCTTTCTTTGAACCTAAAATGGGTGCAATGAATGCTTTAAATGCCAAATTTTACACTTTTGTGAAAATTCACACTTTTTAATACAGTGCAGTTAGAAAGCTTCGGAGGTGCTTTAAGTTAATAAATAGTGACACAGGACTTTAAGAAGTCTTGAATTAATCTTTACAGTCAGATATTGCTGCTCCTTTTTGTTTTTTTAAGACTCTGAAGATAAGAAATTCCTGGCTTAGAATTTTTAATTTTAAAGTTGTTTTTTGTTTTTGCCAGAACTCAAGTCCTTTGAGGTTAATTGCTTAATTAACTTTTTATGTAAGAGGAGTCTTTCCTAATGACTGAGTTTACATTTTTGGAGCCAGTAATAGGTTATTATGGAGATTTTGTTAGAAGATCTTAAACTTGGACACCTGGACAGTCAATAATGAAAGAAAAAAAGGTCTTTGTGAAATTTAAGCCCTTATTAAGTTTAGGGAATTGTATTGACATCTGCTCATCCTTAAATCATTTTCTTTTCTTGTATATGATCTTGCCTTGGTTCAGACATAAATGAGAGTGTCCTGATCTACTGCTCTTTAGATCTGAACTCCTTTTTCACTGGTAGGTCTCAATGTGGGGAAATTACTTTCTTATTTGGTATCTTTATCTTGGACTGACCTCCCTCAGGTTTGCAGGTATTTAACTCTTCAAATGGAGTAGTCAGTTTCAGTGGGAGCAGAAAGGCAGAAAGCAAATAAATATATTTTACTTTAGACATATTTTGCATAAAAGTATAGACTGCAACTCTTAAATTTATACCAGTAATGAGTTCAGTAGGGCAGATCTTAAAAGCTTCTGTTCCTAGGAGTTACACTTTGAAAAAAATTTATAGAAATACTTATAGTCACCTGTGAATACTTACAGCAGTGTTTTACAGGATTATATACTATAGGTTCTTAGGACTTTGTAGTTGATAAGTTAAAGCCTTCTAACAGACTTTAGTTGATGAAATGTTGAGTAGAACTAATATCTCTTAAAATTTCACATTCAATATACCTTTTTTAGATGCCTTCAATTAAGTTGCAGAGTTCTGATGGAGAGATATTTGAAGTTGATGTGGAAATCGCCAAACAATCTGTGACTATCAAGACCATGTTGGAAGGTAAGTTTATTAGAAAACTTGGGTAATCAGTGTGATCCTCTCAGAAAAAAAAAAGAAAGAAAGAAGAAAAGAAAAAGAAAAGAAAACCTGGGTGGGAAGAAATCTGTAACTTGAGATAACTTGTGAATATCGAATTTATGTGAGCAACATTCTATTGTAAGGTGCTCAAGAGTATGAAGGGGTAAAGTTTACTTTTTTTCTCTAGAGTGTAAACTGCATTGTTCTGATACAAGTTATTCTTTTGGCATTATCTGAATTAGTGAGGTTTTGTCCTTATTAAGTGAATAAGACCATAAGCTAACAAATATGGAAGTGATCTACAAGCCTCAGACAATGACCCATTTCTGTTTCAAGTAAATTTAGGTTCATAAGTTCTAATGACAAAAACTAAAGCCGTTGGAAAAAAGATACTTTCCCTATATGGTAGCTAAATAGAGTACCATGTTTCAGTGGAGGGAGTAAGCTCTGTAGATTGTAAGCTATGTAGATGTTTTTTTAAAAAAAACAAACGAGCTTTCACTTTTGTCTATTATTGTCATTCCTATGGAACTGCTTCAAAGTGTATGTGCAACACAACAAAGTGTGGCAAGAAAACAGGTCCTGAAATTTTGAAACTTTTACTAGTTAATGTGGTTCTTTTCTTAGTGTTACCACTGGCCTGGTGGACATTAATAGTATATAGGGTCTAGAAGTGACGGAAAAAAACCTTAGTAGTAATGAGTGTTTCCTGGTACTCAAATGTCACAGGTTTTTATGTAGGGAAGATCTGTAGCTTATAAATACTTAAATGAAGAATAGGGTTATATGCTAAGCTCTAGCTATATGCTCATGAAAGGAAGGTGAGATGTAGTTTTTGCCCTTGAAGAATTTATAAATTAAGAGGGGAGCCAGACACAAAACAAGGCAAACTGTCACATGGTATGTTAGTGCATTAATAAAGTTATGTGCCAAGTGGCACTGTGGGAACATTTTGGCTGGTGGTATTCTTCAGGCTTTTGGAGAGACTGCAGTGTGTGGTACTAGTGAGGTGATATTTTAAATCTAGTAAGATTGGGGTATTTTGGGAGATCATTCTGAGGTAAAATAGAGTGTGTTAGAGAAGAGTTAAATTGAGATTTTTAGTTGGGAGAGGATGGGACTGTGGTGCTGTAGCTGGTAGAACTGAAAACAAGTTTGAGGGGCCGGCCCGGTGGCGCACTGCGATAGTGCGCCGCTTGGGAAGCGTGGCTGCGCTCCCGCCGAGGGTTCGGATCCCACATACAGACTGGTTCCTGCTCACTGGCTGAGCGAGGGGTGGGCGCAGCGCCGAGGATTGCGATCCCGTTGCCGGTCCCGGTCCGGTACGGGCGTGACACTGAGGGTTGCAGTCCGTTGCCGGACACGAAAAAAAGACAAAAAAAAAAAAAAAAAGAAAACAAGTTTGAAAGGAATGGAGAAGAAAATGATTTTGAGCTTGAACTATGAGATTCCTCAAAAGGTATATTTAGCAATCTGCTAGGCAATTGAGTATGTGGCCCCTAAGTTGTAGACTGCTCAAAATAGACTTGATTTGTATGGTGGGTTATGGGAGTATAACTGTGAAAGAAGATGAGGTTGGGGTGAGTTTGGAGAAAAAAAAAAAAAAAAAAAAAAAAAAAAAAGAAAACAAGTTTGAAAGGAATGGAGAAGAAAATGATTTTGAGCTTGAACTATGAGATTCCTCAAAAGGTATATTTAGCAATCTGCTAGGCAATTGAGTATGTGGCCCCTAAGTTGTAGACTGCTCAAAATAGACTTGATTTGTATGGTGGGTTATGGGAGTATAACTGTGAAAAAAGATGAGGTTGGGGTGAGTTTGGAGTGTTGAATGTAGAAGTCAGAATTGGAGAATCTGGGGAGTAGTATTTGTGGAAGCCAAGGGGAGAGGAGACATTTCTGGGTGACTAGAGTGATTGCCAGACTCATGCTCTAGACTGGTCACTTAGGATTTCATAGTTAATAAGTTAGAGGACTTGTAGTAGCAGATATGAGGGGTCTTCAAAAAGTTTGTGGAAGGGCTGACCCCGTGGCGCACTCGGGAGAGTGCGGCGCTGGGAGCGCAGCGACGCTCCCGCCGCGGGTTCAGATCCTATATAGGAATGGCCGGTGCGCTCACTGGCTGAGCGCGGTGCGGGCGACACCACACCAAGGGTTGTGATCCCCTTACCGGTCACGAAAAAGACAAAAAAAAAAAAAAAAAAAAAAA